CTCCCCAGGTGCAGTACCTTGCACTTTTCAGTATTGAAGCCCATCCTGTTCTCATCCACCCACCCTTGTAACCTGTCCAGGTCTAGCTGTAGCCTGTCCCTCCCTTCTAACATGCCTACTTCTTCCCACATCTTAGTGTCATCCGCGAACTTAAGCAAGGTGTTTTTCACCCCCTCATCCAAGTCACTGATGAAGATGTTGAACAGTGTGGGCCTGAGGACCGAGTCCTGGAGAACCCCACTGCCCACATCCCTCCAGGTGAAAATGACCCATCCACCACCACTCTCTGGGTGTGGCCCTCCAGCCAATTTGCGACCCATCTGACTGTGTAGGCATCGACGCCACAGTCACCTGATTTTTTTTTTAATGAGAACGGGGTGAGAGACAGTGTCGAAGGCCTTCCTAAATTCCAGAAAGCTACGTCCATCGCTACACCTACTTCCAAAGATTTTGTGACCTGGTTGTAGAAGGCAACCAGGTTGGTCTGACAGGACCTGCCTCTAATGAACCCATGTTGGTTGCCCCTAAGCATAACCTCCCCTGCTGGTCCCTCACAGATGTGTTCTTGGATTTTCTCAAAGAGCTTCCCCAGGACCAAGGGTAAGACTAACGGGCCTATAGTTTCCTGCGTCCTCCTTCCTCCCTTTTTCCAAAATGGGGACCACATTGGCCCTTTTCCAATCTTCCAGCACCTCGCCAGATCACCATGAGTGCTGGTAGAGCTGTGCCAGGGGTCCTGCAATGGCCTCTGCCAATTCCCTCAGCACCCTGCTGATTTGAACATGTCCAGTCTCACCAGAAGTTCCCTGCCTAGGACCTCTCTGACCCTAGGCCTGGCTGTGCCTCTCCTGAATCTGTCCGGAATCTCGGTGCAGGGGATGTCCAGGTCCCTGCTCAGAAAAATGGAGGCAAACAGTTTGTTACAGAGGTCAGCTTTATCATCTGGTGCAACCACCCGATTGCCAAGTGTATCCTGCAGGGGCCCCACATTACCCGGTCCCTTCTTTTTGCTCCCTGTATATTTAAAAAAGGACTTCTTGTTATCTTTGATCCGGGTCGCTAGTCCCAGTTCTGTTTCTGCCTTAGACTTCCTAACAGCCCCCCTACAGTCTCGAGCAATGGAGGTATAATCCTCCTTGGTGATCGCCCCTCTCTTCCATTGGGTGTACACCTCCTTTTTAGCTTTCAGATGTTCCTGAATGCCTTTGGTGAGCCATGGGGGTTTTTGAGCACTCTTACCCCCTTTGATTCACGTTGGGACTGTCACCCTTTGGGCTTGGAGGATCATCTCCTTAAGGAACGATCATTCATCTTGGACTCCCAACTCCCCTCCCCTCTGGGACCTCAGTGCCTTCCCAACTAATCTCCTTAACTCATTGAAATTGGCCCTCCTGAAGTCCAAGGGCTGCTGCCTTGCTGCAGGCCTTTGACACCCTATGCTGGATGGTGAATTCCAGTAGCCAATGATTGTTATCGCCCAGGTGGTCGAGAACCCGCAGTCCCCTCACCAGGTCGTCACCTGTGGCCAGGACCAGGTGCAGCAAGGCATTTTCCTTGGTGGGACCGTGCACCTCCTGGGTTAGGTGGAGGTCCTGTATCTTGGCTAGGAACCTATGTGAGCAGTCAGACCTGGCTGACTGCTCCTCCCAGCAGATGTCTGGGTAGTTTAGGTCACCCATGATGACTGTGTCCCTTGACTTAACTTCTTCCGCAAGCTGGCCTGAGAATTCCCAGTCCAGCTCTTCCCCCTGGTGGTGTGGCCTGTAGTAGACGCCCACCATTAAGTCCCTTTCTCCCTGACTCCCTTGTATTCTAACCCAGAGCACTTCAGTCTGCCTCTCTTCTGACCCAGTGCTGTTTGTTGAGGATGTGTACTGCTCTTTGACAGAGCGCCACACCCCCACCTTTTCTCCCCGATCTATCCTGCCTGTACAGTCTGTAGCCCTTGATGTTTAACACCCAGACATGGGTTGAATCCCACCATGTTTCCGTGACCTCCACTATGTCTGGGTTTGTGTTAGCTACCAGGAGGGCAAGTTCCTCCTGCTTGTTCCCCATACTATGAGCATTAGTGTAGAGGCATTTAAGGCCTCCTGTTGGTGTATGCAGCCCCCCGATCCCAGGACTTTTTGGACCCCTGCCACTTACCTGGGTACTTCTTGTGCTCATTGCCTGTCTTGGCTGGGAAGTGTCGTCATTTCCCCCTGTGGCCCCATCCCCTGGCGAAGCTAATTTAAAGCATGCCGTACAAGATGAGCCAACCTGGAAGAAAAGACACGCTTGCCTTTAGGGGAGAGGTGAAACCCGTCCCACCCGAGATACCTGTCTGCCACCAGAGATACCTCTGCCCTTGTCCTTTTGGTGAGATTAGCCTCCAGAAATCCCTTTGACTCCTGTGCCTCTCTTTGGAGATCGAAGCTGTGGCTCCATTTAGAGATGGACTATTTGAAACCTACACCCAGCAGCATGTTTCCTTAAGGCTTAGCAGATCAAGACGACAAAGAAAAGAGGATTAGAACATAAGAAACTTTGTGTAACGTAGCAGCCTGTTGCTTAACCTTTCGTTAACTAAACTAGGTGTGGCATCTTAAGCTTTGTTACAGAGGAATGATGTATATATTAACATGTACCCTTCTCTGATCTTCCTTGCTCAGCTTATCAGCTCCTGTTGATGCACAGCAAGTTCCTCTTTTCTTCTCATACTCAGCGAAGTGGAATGCTTACTTCACTAAATTCCATTTCTTTAGATTAAATATGATGATTGACTTCTGATTTAAACTGTTGTTCTTTCCAGTGGAGCCAAGTTTTTCCCTCCAGCTGAATATACCCAGTTGCCAAGTGTGCAGAAGAGGGAGTTTGTTTAGATGTGATAATTTTGAAAATTTACTTAATTAATCTTCCTTGTGATTACACAGAAATATTAAGGGAATACAAACATTTAGGCCCAATGCACAACTCTTGTAATAAGTAATGATATAGCAGGCCCTAAGTATCACAGTAGTGAAGCCTACCAGCAGACATTCTTCACATGCAAAACATATGTGTGTACACACACACACACGCACACACACACTCACTCACTCACTCACTCACTCACTCACTCCCCCTCTCTCTCTCTCTCTCTCTCTCTCTCTCTCTCTCTCTCTCTCTCTCTTCCCAAAAAATCAGTTGTCCAAAATTGGGGGGTACATGTCTTAACTGGAGAACATGATTTTCTACCCAGAAAAGAAGCACTTGCTTTGATTCCTGCTCCACCAATCAGCAGCAGTGACATTTCTGTTCAGGCAGCTGAGAGAGTAAGTTGACTCATTGTTCTTAATTCCACAGGTATTGACAATCATCTCTCCTTTTTCATGGTGTTGACATTCCACTAATCAAGCTAACCATTCTTCTGGCAATGTTGCTGTCTGCTAGCTACTCCTAGTCTCTCTTTCCTTATTTTAATGCTTTGCAAACTATTTTTAGCTCTTTTGAAAAATGTAGATCCAACCATGGAGACTTCAGGGCACCTAGGATTTTAGCTTTTGGTTAAGGAGGAAAGGGAGTGTGAGACAGTGGAAGATCAGGCTCTGTTCCTGCTCTATGCAGCCATAATTGTGGACAAATCTCTTTCTTCTTCATTCTGCCCTCGCCAAAACAGGCTGTGTGCCTGCCTTGGGGGCATGTGGTATGCAAGCAAATACGTTATTTTGCAAAATCTTTCAGGCACCAGGCAACTGCAACAGCCCCCTCCTACCTCTGTCCTGCAATGTGCTGTGATGCTGTGGTATGCATTCTTTTATAACTTCACAGCTGTACCATAAAGAAGGCCGGTGTATTGGAATGAGGGCTCCAACTAAAATTTCTAAAATTTTGTTTAAAATATGTGATTTACTTGATGCCCCATCAGGCTGATTCCATAATAGAATGATGTTATGATTGCAATGTCAAGTTGCTAATAGGGCCACACAACTGACTTGAAGTTGGTAGTTGAAGAAATTGTAAACTAGAGAATGAATAGCCCTTGGATCATTTCTTTAGCCTCTCCTGAGTGAGGTGGAAGGGAGCATTCAGCACATTCCTGATGGAGACAGAATGCCGAGTTTTGAATTAGCAGTATATTTCCCCTTATGAATCTGTTACTTTCAAAGTCACGCAACAAGCACTAAACATGGCAGAGTTTTCCTTGCCTTTTGAAAAAGTGTATTGCAGTTTGTGCTTCCAAAAACCAACCATAATGAGCTGCCCCATTTCTTTTTCTTCTGATGACAGCTGGTACTTTCCCTGCCTTCTTCAGCATTTAGAGAAATCACTGTATTTGAGGACTACCACATTTTTTAAAATTTATCTTGTTAAGAGCCTTTTACTCTGACACAAATGCGTTTTTGTTTGTTCCACAGGATACTATGGCGATGGTCTAAATGCCATCATTGTGTTTGCTGCATGTTTCCTGCCAGACAGCAGTCGAGCTGATTACAACTATGTCATGGAAAACCTTTTCCTGTGAGTGATATATGTGAACAATGTGACAGTCTTTTGAGTTAATACCTGTAATTATGTAGTGATAGATAACCTGTCTTTAATTATGAGATAATTTGAGGTATTAAAAGGGGATCATTTAAATGCCAAGGAAAAAAGCAGTCTTAGGTACATTGCTCAGTGAAGCCCTTATGTTAGTTGATCATAATAAAAAAAATAGATCATATTTGCCAAAATCCTACTGTAGTCATTCCTATTTAGAGCTTGCTGTAATTATTCTCCAAATGAGAAGGGTTATAATATCTTCATGCTACCTGAATCCGAAATCAATGAACTGCTTCATCAGTGGGCACTAGCCGTGGATGAGAGGAGAGCAACCGTCAATATTTTTGACCGTCAGTTCATTTTTCACTCTGTTGATATAATTTATTATTTGGATGAATGTACCCCCTAAGAGTCCTGGTTCTGGACCACAATCTCATTGTAATACAGACTGCCCCACTTCATGCTTCTGAAATCCCAGTTTGTGTGGCTTTCCAAAGCCTCTAGACTAAATTCCCCTTAGGTCTCCATAATTACAAGTTTTGCATTGGGTGCTTTATAAGAAAATGCTGAATGCTGCCATAAGAAAAAAGACTTGCAGGTGTTTCTCCCCTCAGAATTTGACAGTAAGTTCATGCCTAATCCATGGAAAAGGATATCTCAGCTAAAGAAAGAGATTGCAGGCCGTAAAATTTAAACCTAATGTGGCAGTATGCTTAAAACGTGCCCAATTATTGCAATTAAATTAAAGCACAAGAAAGAAAGAAAAAAAAGCCCCTCAATAGCACTCAAAACATGCTAGTTCAAACACATGCTTACCTATTGCACTTTGCAGAATCACATTGAACTTAAAGCTGCCCGGTTATTGAAGTGAACCATCAGTGGATCAGCTGACACTGCATGTTTCTTAAGTCTTTGAAGAAATATGATTGGGACCTTTAGACCAGATTTGTACAGGTATCTGAAGACCAGGGTATAAATAGGTGCTTAGTAGTGACTTTGGTAATACCACTAGGCTTCTGTCTGTGCCGTACAATATCTGTAAAATATAGCCCTGTTTTTATTTATTTAGATGGCAGAAGGTATTGTGGATAATACACTAACAGTCATAATAACCATTGGGAGTAAAGAGAATTATTCAAGAATTTTTAACACCAAATAGGCTCTTTCTTGTTGATCAAGTCTGACCATCACAGAGGCCTTAGAATATCATCCGGTAGTCCCTGAGTGAGAGTTATTCTTTGCTTCTATAACAGCTTTGGGTGAATTGGAGAAATTAGCATTTTAAGGCAAACACGTTTTTTTGTGAGGCCTAGAGCTAGACCCCACATCATGAGGGGAAATCATTAGTTAAAAAAATATAGTGGGTAAAAAGAACATAAGCTCTTGACTAGAAAGGCCTTACTGAAAGACTAATTCACTTTAAAAGGAGAAATTCTGTCCTTTGATTATTTTAGAGAGCTGTGGACTGGTTTTTATGGGAGTCTTGTAATTCTGTCGCTGATGTGCTGTGAAGAGGAAACAGCAGGCATTGCAGTTTGGTCTGTACCATCCAGGGAAAGGATGTTGGCAGGTTATGTCTCAGGGCTTCAGCTTCAGCAGAGAGCCAAGTTTTCAAAGACTATCTTAAAGGATTAATCAAAGTAACAAACTGGTGAAAGAAAGTTTTCATAACCCATGGGGTACAGTATTTCTAAAACATGTGAAAAATGACCCTAGGACTGCTGTCCACAGACTGAGAAGCTACTGATAGAGAGTTTGCAGCTGGGAACTATTGTACTGCAGTTTCAGGATCATCTACGGGAAGTACTTTATTCAAGACTAAGAGCACTCAGTTAAGAAAATAACAGGAAGAGGTATTCAGTATTGCCAACTCTAATGATTTTGAAGAAATATATATATATAAAAGAACGAGCTAATTTTTTTCACATTCCCGAAGTGCAGACTTTAAGAACAATACCAAAGATCATGAGTTGGCAACATTAGTTATTAGACTTGTAAGAATTTCACGTCTCCTAGTATGTCTAACTAGAAAGAAATCATGTGCATTACATTACATTTTGAGAATTCATAGAGTCCAACCATCCTGTCTTTAGCTTAACAAAGAGATTGATGGTTAGGCTTCTTTACTCATCACTTTGTACCTCTGTGTATGTAAGAAACAAGTCTGGAAGTTGTAAGACAAATAGAAGGCACAGGATTCTGCTCTCATGCCCAAAATCTGAACTAACCCCAGTGAAGACAATGGAATGTAAGAAAGAGTACTGCTCTAATAGCCTTGAGAGTGATTTGTGAAGAAGCCTTTTAAGTCATGAAGGTGGAATAACTAAGAAGAGAATTTTCCCATAATCCTCACAAACTCCTCTCTAATAATATTCTTCCCTGTTTATATACAACTCTACTTAAAAAGAGCTTTCAACAGAGTCAAATGATAGCTGTCATGTTGTATCATTTTCTGCTAGATTTTAAAATGACTGTGGCATTTTCCTCCCTTCAAATCTATAGTATTTTGCTAAATTTGTTGATCACACAATTGCTCAGAATGATGGATGTATTTAGACACAGTATCTGCTTACTAAGGTAATACTAATAATGGATCTCAATAGGGACTGTATCAGCCAGTGTTTAGGGTGCCTAAGCCTAAACACTTCAAATGGTTAGACAGACAACATACAGATGCAAAGAAGGGGAAGAAGTGCAGTAAAAATCTCTGCCTGAATAATGATAAGTGACAGTTGCCTGGATAGATCCACATATTTAATTTACTTAATGTTTCTCTTATATTTGTTCAAAAGGGTATCACAGGCACTCCCCTTTGGTAAGAACAAAGCTTTCTGTTTTTGAGCTGAAGAACTGTATTGTAAGAAGGAATATAAGGAAGAGATTCAATTGAAAGTTTGTTTGACTCTTCAGTGAAAGGTGTAATTATATGCACAGATTGATTGGCATTTGCAATGTAAATTTGCAGTTTCCGAGGGTGTGGTTCAGTGATATTTCCCTGTAGTTTTTATACAGGTACCCACCTGGGCTGGATGATGGAGTTCAAACATTTTGGAAGGCGTATTAACCCCAGGCTTCAAGGCATTTGGCCTGTTGGAACTGTTAGAGATTTGGATGACACATAATGCAAATGATGTACTTATTAGTCCACCTTTACCTCTGCCTCCCTACCTGTGCTAGCTGCTGTTGGAGGCAACATCTTGGATTAGATGGACCTTAAATTTGTTCCAGTCTGCCAACTATGATGTTTCTATAGTAGAGTCACAAACTGGAGTTGGAAGTATCCAGCTGGGCCAGACCACGTGTTTCTATGCAGTCCAACCCAAAAATTAAATTTGCCCTTTGATTGGATTGATTGAACAGTTATTCCCATGGGGGTAAATCTCATCCACGAAATATAGCTCTGTCGTAATACTGACTTCAGAACTGAAAAATTCACAGTAGGGTTATGCATGCTTCTGGAGCATTCTGCTCAGAAAAAGAACTGATGGTTACAAATACCAAGGGATACTCTTCCCTTGGAGAAGCAGGTAGGTGCACAGTGCCTGCTGGTTATGTGGATTAATAGTTTTGAAGTTTAAAGCTTGGTAATTACTACTGCTAATCACAGATTAAGGAGCAGAAATTTGCAGCTTTAAGAACAAGATTTAGAGGCCTTCTTTGGCTCTTTTATTTTTGGTTTAAATACCATTTATTTCTAGTAAACAAGTCAATGATTAATGCTGAAGTTAAGATTCTTTTATATACCGTAGTTAATGTCTCACTATCACTTGGTAACTTCAGATTCTTCTATCAGGGTCTTGCAGGTTGAATCTGTAAAGTTAATATGTTTACAGGAAGGAGGGGAGAAGGAACACACTATAAAGATGAAGCACTCCAGACTTGCTTTCTGAAAGGAGGTTATATGAAGATGCAGATAAGATTATAGCTTCATGTCAAGCTTCCATGAATTAACCTGAGAGCAGTTGTAGATGTGTGATTTTCATTTAAACACAAAGAAAGTATTGTTTTGTTTGAAGTTGCTTAGTGACCATTAATTTGTGTGTAGTAGATTGCTGTTGATTAGTATTAAATTAATAATATAAAAACCCAACTCTCACTTGCTTTTTGTCTCTAATTAGATATGTAATAAGTACCTTAGAGCTTATGGTAGCTGAAGACTATATGATTGTCTACCTGAATGGGGCAACTCCAAGGAGAAAGATGCCTGGACTTGGCTGGATGAAAAGGTGTTATCAGATGATAGATCGGCGGTAAGCATTCTGCATTCTACACTTGCATCTATCCCCACTAGACTTCCGTTTAAAGTGCCATCCACTTACATCTCTCCTCTGTGTAGAGCTTACATTATATTTTTCATTGCATATAGTGTGTCTGTATAAAATATTTTTATTTTTAAGAAGCTGAAGCATTTTTTTCCTCCACATTAGGTTAAGGAAGAATTTGAAATCATTTATAATTGTCCACCCATCTTGGTTTATCAGAACAATTCTAGCAGTGACACGACCTTTTATAAGGTAGGCAATTAACATTGGTTTTCTTTTCATTCAGTCCCCTTCCAAAGATGACCCTGAATGATCAGATATAGAAAAGTAACACATGACAGAAGGCAAAGGAAGAGATAAGTTTCTGCCCTGTGAGTCAACATTGGCGCACAAATAACTAAATGAACTGTTTAAGGACATCCTGAATTCTTATATAAGGTGTATGCCAAAGGTGTACTTTATTTACATTTTTTAAAAGAAAAACAATTGTCTTGCAACCCTCAGCTACTGAATTATGCCTTATAATGCCACAAAACAGCAACTAAGAATAAAAATGAAAGTAGGCCCACTTTTTCTTTATAAATTCTATTAAGCATCAGTAAAAATCTGTCCTGCTTCTCTAAATTCCTTTTCTATGTCCATGCATAAATTTAAAATAGTTACCTGCAACAAAATAACATAATTAGTTATTTATAGTTTAAAAATTTACAGCAAAAATATTTTCTTGTTGCACAGATTTGGGAACTTAGTTCTCCTTTGACTAATTGCCTTTGAAGAATGTTTCCATAGCCTTCCAGATGCTTTTATATCAGGGTAGCATTTGCAACACTTGCTTCAGCTGGCATTTCAGGTATTCCAGGTTGAGTTCCCTATTAAGATGCTATATATTATTTTTTGGCAAGTTAAAAATAAATAGATATAATATGTTGCTTCTATCATGGTCTAGATTTTATAGTTCAATTTCATACTAAGTAGGCACCCTGCATTGCTATTTATTTATTTACTTACAATGCCCCTTCTAATTTCCATTTTGGTCAATGAAAAGACTGGCTGTACAGTAGGAGAGAGATTAGACACAGTACTATTTTTGTGTTGAACCAAATAGTTAAAGCTGCTGTATGAAATAGACCAGAAATGTGCATTTCTCCTGATTGTTTACACAACAAAGGATTGAAGTTGAACTAGTACCTATTCTAGATTTAGTTTCTAAACAACTGACATTTCACTACGTATTCAGTTCTTATGGCCTCTTTAGATGTACATGACTGTAGAATCCAGCAACACTCTATTGCTGGTACAGGGGGAGTCCAGGATTGCCATCCCAAGTTCCCCCTGCATCAGCAAGTAAAAAGCTCCTACAGTTGTGAATCCTGTAGCTGATAGGATTTGGAGCCATTGGAGCACCTCACAGCCAGGATTGACAGTCCCACAGCTGTAGACTCTCCGCTCCAGTGGCATCCCATGGTGGCTGGGACAGAGTCCCACAGCTGTAGGAGTCTCCATCCTGGTAGCCCCCCCGCTTTATAGCTGGTTGCCGTCCAGCTTTAATTTGCTTTAATTTGCACGTGTAGCAGGGTCTGCTCCTGTGGCTGGGAGTCTGGTGGCTCCCAGCTACAGGGACAAACCCTGCTTCATGTGCAAATTAAAGTTGGATAGTAGTCTGCTATGAAGTTAGTACAGTTTCAAGGTCTCTCTTTATAGCTGGTTGAACCTATTTATAGTATGATAGGTACTTTGTACATGTAGCTGGCTTCACTTAAGTGTGCAATACCTGTAACATATAGAAAGGGCCTATATAGAGAGACAGTAAATGTTGATTTAGCTGAGCACTGTCTGAGTTAAGCAAGGAACCTCAGGCCTAAGTTGAGAGTAGACCTACACGTGTGCATGTGTACACACATACTATAAATAGTATATCTCCTGGTAGGTTGTCATATCCCAGATATACATATTACAGATTTAACTGTTTTATTTAGTTATTGCATATGTCCCCAGAACCCAAGAATCTCATCAATAAACTAAAAGGGAGGCTACAATCAGGTAATTCCTCACATGGAGCTTTTGCAACTGAAGTGAATGCTTCATAGTTTTGTGATGCATAGATACACTTGAGGGGGCCTGATCTGTTTTAATGGCTGTCACTCAAAATATAAAACTACCTACACTATCAGTGTTTAGTTTCTGATGCAGTCGTCAGTACTCGGTGAGATTCACCGCAGACACAGAGGACAAAAGGCTCATTCCTGAATTCAGTCTTGCATGAGCACCTTGCTGTATGAAGGATCAGAAGACCGTTGTGACTGGATCAGTGGTCCTCAAGGCACCGCCCCATAACTTTTCTGCATTTAGCAACACCACAGGACATCAGTTGGGATTTACTGAGCTAGAATCCAAATTTTGAAAAGCTTTTTGGAGGCCTGCCTTGAATCTAAAAAGGTTGAGAAACTGACATAGCTGGTGCCAAGGGTGGGGAATAGGTGCAGAACTTCTGTTTTCTTTATTTGTGAGATTTTGCAGAGGAAAATGAAATCACCCATGGCATTTCTGTGTTTCAGCTCAAAATTCAGCAGTAAGATACAGTATGTCGGTACATTGGCAGAGCTCAGTGAGCTGATTCCAATGGAGTATGTACACATACCAGACAGCATTGTCAAGTAAGTGAAGTACATTAAGGATGAAGATATGTGTACTGATGAAAAATGCTTTCATCATCTAACCAAGGTATTATTAATTGCCAGCTGGAACTGTAACCGGATTTTGCCTTCTACATCCTGTTTCATGTAGGGTAACATCATTATATAAGCAACTGGGGGTAACATTATTCAGGAATCTGTTGGAGAGTTAGAAAATGTTTAGCTGAAATTATCAAGAATAAGAAGTTAATTCAACCATTTGAACAAGAGAGAGAAAATTCTATTTGTTCCTGATTTTACAGAGATCCCACTCCCAAACTCTGAAACAGCCAAATGTTCAGGCTGTGAAACAAGACAGATACTACATGGTCCTAATTAAAACAAACTCTTCACTCACTAATCAGAATCAGAATGCAAAATGGGAATGCCTTCTCTTTCAAGATAAACATTTAACATTACATGCCTAAATGACTGTTCTGCAGTTGGGCTTTATTGTGTGTTTTTTTTTTTAAGCTTTAATCTTGGAGCACTTAGAATCAAAGCAATGATTCATAGATAGCCTGATTGATAAAGCCACTGGCTGTTAAACCAATTTAGTAATGCCACTGTGATTTGAAAAGGAGACTTCCAGGGCTCACCTGTTTCTTTTCCAAGTGATCTGTCAAAGAAACAATCATTTAACCATAAGTAAGACTAAAAAGGAAGTGGAAATGCATCTTAATTTCTGCCTTATATGGGTATATGGTCCCTAAATGCTATCAAAAGATGTTTGTTTAAAATGTACATGCAGCTATATGTGGGGATGGGAAAGGCTAGGGCTATTGTTCATCTCAGATTGGCATCTGTTTCAGAACTAGAAACAAGAGAAGCTGAAGTTATTCAGTAAAATTAAACGACCTGGAAGTCAATCACTGTTTCCTTGTGGGTCATTGTTGCAAAGTTACAGTATTTCAGCATGTATTACTTCTTTTTCTTCCCTGTGTCTGATTTATCATGTTTTGAACAAGGCAACGACTGTTACCCTTTGAAGAGTAAATGGGCAAGGATCTGATATTCTTTTCTTTAGCACATTGGAGAGATTAGGTTTTCAGAAAGGGGAAAAACACCACAGTGTGAAGATCTTTTCTTTCAGAGACCTTTTCAGAGATGTTACAGATGCTTCCAACCTGGGCAGGTGTTCTACTTGCCCAACCACTAACTGTGGAACCACAAGCTGTAGAACCTCGTTTCCTTCACCAGGCTGATTGTTGCTCTGAGACATGCAAACCCCTCAAATGCAATAACTCAGGAGAAGATAAGGGAGCCCAATTCTGCAATGCAAGGGTTCCAAGAGATAGGAAGGCACAAAGAGACATTTCATTGTCTGTGCAACTTCTCTGTAAAAAATGAGGAGCAATGGTTGTGTTCAAGCTTTTCATCTGAGCAAGAGACTGTGAAATATATTAATATTCCAAAGCTGCAAAGTCTCCAAACAAATGTCTTCCACCAAAACTCTGTTGATTTTCTTTCCTTTCTTATTCTTTATTTCATGATATCTGTCTGCCCTCTCACTCTTTGACCCATTCCAATCCACTTGCCTTGTCCTTTCTTTTCCTTCCATGTATATGTTTCTTTTTCACTTTGGCTTTGTGCAGATGTTACATCTAGAAATTTGAGGGGCTAGATTGAGTTAAAATGGCCCCTTGAACTAATTTAGAAATTAGATAGGTGCTGGGAGCCTGGTAGGGGGTAGGGTGGGCAGGATGGGGGAAGCCAGCAGAGGGACTTGGGGATTGGGGGGCTAGCAGGGTCCACAGGGTAAGTTTGGGGAATTGGGGAACTAGCAAGGTCTGTGAGGGAGCTTGGGGTGCTAGTTGGGTCTGCAGAGGGAGTGAAGAGAATGGGGTCCTTGGGGAGTTGGGGTGCTTGGGGACATGGCAGGATCAGAGAGGCTCTGATCCTACCAAACTTCCTGGACTCCCCCAGCCCTGCCTTCCGATGCCGCTGACCACCTCCAGTCCCAAAAACTACTCCCAAGGCTAGTTTTACCAGTGTTCACTGGTCCTGGGAGCCCAATGGAAGTAATTAGGGTGAAGGGCTAGGGGTGGGTGGCCTCATGGGGGCAATGAGGGGGTGTCTCTCTCCCTTTCCTCCTCACCTGCAGATAGATAATACCCTGGTAATCAAGTCTTCCCCCTTCCTCTGCCCCCCACCGTGACTTACTCCTGGCACCAGCGAACACTGGTAAAACTGGCACCAGGAGTGGCTTGCAGGATTGGGGGTTTGGTGGGCTTGGAGTAAGGGGGGCTGGCAGGTCTGCAGGTGGGGGCATGGGAGGGGAGGGGCCGGGGGCTAAAAATATCCTAGTGCCTGGGGGGATTGGTAAAGTGCACCTCCAGGC